CACTCCCAAACATGCATCAGTCAGCATCTGCTGTTAGTCTTTCATATTGAAAAAAAACCCACAACTAATATTTGAGCAGATATTTAATCCCTCCAGTGTGCTCTGGGTCTCCCCCCAGGGTCTCCTCCCAGTTGGGCGTGCCCAGAAAACCTCCAAAGGGGGACGTCCAGGAGGATCTTAGTCAGATGCCTGAACCACCTCAACTGGCTTATAGGTGCCTTGCCCAAGGGCACCTCGGCAGAGCTCAGGAAGTGGACTGGCACCTCTCAAGCTGTAGTAGTAACGAGGATGTCTAAAACAAACAGGCAATGAAAATGAATCAGTTTCAATCTTGTCTTTTCTCTGTCTAAACAATTAGACCTCTTTCTAAAATAAACAGATCAAGTAAACCTTTACTGCTGAAGTGTTTAAAAAAGTGGAAACTGATGTCAGGCTGAAAGTCGTGATGCAGCTTATGATTTCTCTGTTATTTAACCTGCATGCCATGGCAGGTTAGAACATCTTTATAGACAAAATAGTGAAAACTTCTTTTCTCAATACTTGTACTTGTTAGAAGCTGCAGAACATCCTTGGCGGGGGTTTGTTTCAGAGGGGCGATGGAGGGCGGTGGTGGTGGTGGTGGTGGGGGGGGGGGGGGTTGTAACACGAGGAAGAGTGACGTCAAACCTCGCCCTCTGTGACTCCATGCTACGACGGGCACCTAGTGTTCTGATTCCTCAAGATGTACGAGAGGGAGAAGAGGTGGAGGGGGGGGGCGGAGGAGAAGTGTCGGGGCCAGGAGGTCACTGCTCATGTTAGGGATTAAAGGAGATGCTTATCTGAAGGGAGGGGTCACAAGGGGGGGGGGTACAGTTAAAGGAGACCCCTGAGCTTTGATGATGATGAACATGTGTTTTTATATCAACATGGTTCCTCCTTCCTTCTTCAGATGTCATCATCATTCAGGTTCCACAGCATTGAAAAGGTAAGAGAGGGGGTACCAATGACCATATTTATATTCTTCTCAACAGAAGGGAGGAGAACTGGATTTTAACCCGACAAACTTTATACCCCAAAAGGTATCAGGGCGTTTTCACATTAGGCACGTTTGTTTCTTACCGTCCCTCTCCCCTCTCCCCCGCTGGTCTGCGTTACATTAGTAACATCGTTCCATGAGCACGACTGTGTTTGTACACACTCTGATACAGCAGGGGGCAGTACACACATAGCTGGTTTGCAAAAAACGGCAAAAAGCAGAAAGAAGAAGAAGACGCAACCATGGCAACCACTCGCGGCCTGAGTCCGTCCTGCTAACTGGCAGATAAACATTGATTTAAGAATTAGCATTTTGTGTATTTATCTCAAATGAGAAGTAGCTGCTGGGGCTGCACGGTGGTCCAGTGGTTAGCTCTGTCCCCTCACAGTGAGGAGGTTCCTGGTTTGAATCCCCGTCTGACAGGAGCCTCTCTGCGTGGAGTCTGCATGTTCTCCCCCGTGCATGTGTGGGTTCTCTCCGGGTACTCCGGCTTCCTCTCCAGTCCAAAGACATGCTAGTTAGGTTAACTGCTGACTCTAAATTGTCCGCAGGTGTGAATGTGTCTGGTTGTCCCTCTATATGTCAGAGCTTTGAATGACAGGTGAACAGTCTACAATGTAACCCCGCCTCTCGCTCAATGACAGCTGGGATCGGATCCAGCCCCCACGACCCTGAACGGGAAAAGATAATGTATGAACAGTATGTATGGATGGATGGATAGAAGGGCTGCTAGTCAAAATCACAATAATGGCTTTGAATTCAAACAAGTCATGAACTTGATCTCTCACTGCAGTCCATGTTCATGAATAAATGTTAAACAGCTTGAAAATGTTCTTCTCTTTGTTTCAGAATAAGTTGTTGATCCTTTAAAGCACGCCGTGAAAACACTAAACCCTCGTTACCGATCAAATCCCCAAAGTTGGGCACATACTGAGTGACCTGATGATAAGATGTTTGTCTCCTAATAATCAGGAAGAAAGAAAAAAAAACCTTTTTAAAGATTATTGAAGATCCTTTTTGTTCTGGCGTTTTGACAGATTTGGAGCAGAAACCTGGGAATAAGAGAGGAAAGGCTTACGGACGTGTTGCGTCTCCCTGTTGCACTCTGAGTCTGTGAGAGAGACAGAAAACAGGAGTTAATTGCATTTTTTTTACAGTCCGTCTCAAGTGGAAGCAGCTTAATGAGGTTAGGCAGCTCGCCTCGTTGAGAATCGCAACTGTTCCTAATTGTGATCTCAAATATGCTCATAATCCTCTGATTTGACAGCGGTGCAGGTTTCTGGGGAGGCATTAAGGTGAGCGAGGGAGAACGAGGGACACAGAGACAATTAGCAGCGAGGAAAACATGTGAGCGAGTACAGCGGATTAAGACATTTCACCAACAAGTCAAATAAACACTTTTTAATGCTCCACAGCTTTAGATGAGCCCGTTGTATCGTCCAAGACCACTTTATCTAACGAGCACATTTCAAACATCCGAGGTGCTTCACAGAGTCAGGAGGTCAAACATGGAACAATGAAGAGACGGGTCTTCAATGACTGAAAACACTCAGAGGGGGGCAGGTCTTATCTGGAGAGGTTTTTGGGGGGTTTTGAGAAACCACGATCGTTCCTGGTAGTGTTGTAGTCAAGACCAGAGTAATCGAGACCAGAGTGCTCTGAGACCGAGACAAGACCAAGACCAAGACCAAGACCAAGACCAAGACCCAGACCGAGACCGAGACCGAGACCGAGACCAAGACAGGACGAGACCAAGACAAGACCAAGACCAAGGCAGGACCAGACCGAGACAAGACCGAGACAAGACCGAGACCAAGACCAAGACCAAGACCAAGGCAGGAAATAACCAAGACAAGACCAAGACCAAGGCAGGACCAGACCGAGACAACACCAAGACCAAGGCAGGACCAGACCGAGACAAGACCGAGACAAGACCAAGACCAAGGCAGGACCAGACCGAGACAAGACCAAGACCAAGACCAAGACCAAGACCAAGACCAAGACCAAGACCAAGGCAGGACGAGACCAAGACAAGACCAAGACCAAGACCAAGACCAAGACCAAGACAGGACCAGACCAAGGCAAGACCAGACCGAGACAAGACCGAGACCAAGGCCAAGGCAGGGTGAGACCGAGACAACACCAAGACCAAGGCAGGGCAGGACCCAGACCAAGACCATGAATATCACACTAGCTGACTGATAAAGAACAGGTCCTGTGTGGATGCTTCTGTAGTTTGTGTTTGATCTTGGTCTCGTTGCTACGTTTGCACACGACCTTGGCACGTATGCTGTCGTGATCCCGAGCTGTTGTGTCAATATCAGTGTTGTCAGTGACAGCAGCATGCCCTCGTGCCAACAGACACTGTTATATCATGAAATACTTAAATCACACGTAGCATAATGCAGAGGTGAGGCTTCAGTCATCAGGAAGACTTTAAAAATTCACCTGTTCCCTCTTAGAGATTAAAGTGTGTTTTATAGTCGCCAAAGGACACAAATTCATTAAATACGTTTGAGTGTTTGCAGGACATGACTCAAGGACATTTTAAATTATTATTATGCATCTGAGTGGCTGCAAGGTTTTGGCTGCCTTAAAGGAGCAATATGTAACTCTGACCCCTAGTGTTTAAAATGGTTACTGCAGTCCAAATTCTAAACATTGTAGAGAGCTGTCTCCACCCGCCCCCTCCTCTCTGGAGTCCATGCTGGCTAAACAATGAAGCTTCAGTGTTTAGCCAGCTCTGCATCGGTCTGTAAACCTTTCTGAAATCTTCTTCAAATCCAGAGCATTCAGGACCAGAATCTAAAGTTAGAAGGAGGACATACTGGCTGCTGCATTGTTGTCAGAGAAGCCAGCACTTCAACATAGCATGTTTCCTTAATGTCTGATCATATAGTAAGATGTACAGATTGCTCCTTTAATTATTGGGGCATCATGCAAGCCCAACATTTAAGGGGCCTAAGTTAGAGTGGGTTCAAGGGTGTCCCATGGGAAGAATAATGCCATTTTCTGCATTATTAAATAGTAGCGGCTGATCCGTCTGAAAGTCTGAGAACGACCTCAGTTAAGTCATGCAGAATTCCTTAAATCCTAATTGTACATTTTTTGTTTCTTTCCTTCATCAAATCCCGTCCATAATGTCAAATAGAAATGCTTAGCTGATTTAAAATCTCATTATTAGGCTTTCATATTTGACCTGCCTCCCAGAGATCAGAAACTTTACCTGCCTGATGACATCACCATCACATCTGGTGCGAGTAAAGTTCTGCTAGTTTATATTTGTGCTCTTCTGCATCTGATTCGAGCGTATAATTCCTTACAGACAAACAGTTGTGCACAGATTGACCAAACACAGATTTCACTTTGACATTAAACTCTGTTATTCAGTCCCAAATCTGCAACAAACGACATGAGGAGAAAAACAAAAGCAGCATCCGGTCATGAGGTCACCTCTGACTAATGGTCTTCAGGGCAGAAATGAACTGCGGCTCAGTCCGTCCTGTGGGTCGTTTTTAACGCTGTGAATCACAATAATATTTACCCTGATCCTATAGTCTCCACCAGCCATGTTTTCCCCGTGTGTCCCCTCCAGAGGCAATGTTGACATTTCAACTCTTCTCATGAGGGTGCCGAGGTGACTGTGTGCTTTGTCTCATTGAAAGAGTAAAAGAAAAAAAGAAAACAGAGTGCCTGTGTGACAGATGGTTTGGATGTCTAGTGCCTGGGTGTCTCCACTTAAAAAGCCTTCAGGCAGCATCGGAGGAGCTCTGACCTCTCTGGTCACACGGCCGCTAGCTGTCCTGAGCTGTCAGGTTTCAAAATGTGAGATGACTCAAGGCAGCGGACAGCTTCAATATGTGTCCAGTGCACTCGAAACACATCCCGCTTCCAGCTGTTATCACGTGTGAGCTGAGTTAGGACTCTGAATGTTTTGTAAAGTGTGATTTTAAAAAACATGTGTGTCCTCTGTTTCTCCTCTCAGGATGAAGAACAAGCTGTGGTACTTTGAGTTTGGCACCACTGAGACCATCTCGGCCACCTGCAAGAAGCTCAATGAATGCATAGAGGTGGAGGTGAGTCGCATGATTATCAGAGCTGTGCAGAGGTTCATGCACTGCCAACGCCCACTACTTGTGTTTCAGAGCGCTTCTCACCAGCCCTCGTTGTTACTTTAATTCAAAGAAATCTCACCAAGAAAACATCGAAGAAGGAGTCGAACATGGGAACTGTTTCCTCCAAAAGACGAGTCGGACTAGCGTCTCCTCCGCCGTTGTTGTCGACAAATCTGAAATCAGAAGTCCCGCCCCTTCTTGATTTTGATCCGTCTGTAAGGGAGAAGCGACAGTGAATAGCGGTGCGCTGTTCTAAAAGTTGAACTGTTTTAATCTGAGAGAGCTGTGAGCACAGCGGGGAAAAACTGCTAATTGCTAGAGCGTGTTAGTGCTCAGGACGGGGAGCCCTGAAAACACTGAACTATGATGGTTTGGTATTTAAAACGGGCATTGCCAGCGCTACAACACGCCGTCTGTGGTCACATACCCTTACTGTACTTTAGAAGAGTTTTAAGATTTCTGAATTTACTTATTTGACCGGCTTATTTATACTTTTACCCCAAATTTCCTTCCATCTGTAATTATCTACACAGCTGATCCCATCTGAGTTTACAGGACGCCAGAGGTTCACAGGTTCCTCAGGGAACACTTGACTAAAATCCAGAGGGACCGAAACCTTGTGGCTTGTTCTAGTAGATGGTGATGCCGTAAAGGGTAGTGTGCAGGACTTTCTCTTTCCAAGACTTCTACGTCCTACGTACCTACAGCATGAAATGTTTATTATTTCAGGAAATTTACAACAAAGCAGTTCTCCCATGTTAACGAGACGGGTTATATTTAGCACATCATCAAATGAACGCTCCATAAAGTCACTGATTGCCTCGTTCTGTCATGCAGCGCTGCATAATCGGTCACCTGGGTGTTTAAAGCACAGCGAGACTTCAGGAAAACAGAGAAGAAAACACAGAAGAAAACATGTTACAGAGACTTTTTAGATCAAATGCAGTAAGCTGCTCCATCTGAAAGGCTTCATATCAAAGATCATATTTACTCTGAATTACTTTTTTTTTAAATCTAGTTTGAGTGTTTGTTGTTTATACTTCTAGTTAGACGAAAATATTCAGGAGGTCATAAGATTCTTGGAAATGTGAGACTATGTCTTTTATCAACGTACACTTTTTTGGCTTATATTATATTTTATAAAGCGTGACTGCTTTGTAAAAGGGTTAAAAACTACCCCTTTAACATATTAAACAACAGGTCTGTCTGTTTCTATCCTGTTTGTAGAATTTAGGCACAAACACATTTTATCCTCCTAAAGACGTGAATCTCTTCATTAAAGCCTGAAGAATATTTGACTGTTGAGATTCTGGTCCTGAATGCTCTGGATTTGGGAGAGGGGGCACATGAGGAGGGGGGTCTTAAAGAGACAGTAGCTGAACTGAGGCGTTTCAGGCAGAGGCTGAAATGAGAGATTTCACTGACTCCAGTGTCAGATCAATAAGGAGGTTTTTGAGCTGCAGATCTCATAACTCTGCTCATCAGATGTCCCAGACTGACATCATTAATGGTGAGAGTGAATAACAGATCTCCTTTAAAATAAGGCAAGCTAACTGGATATCTGGATCAGGATTGGTGACCCTCTTTACAATGTGAACTCCTCTTGATATAAATCTTTGTAGTTTTTATGCACTCATTGACAGGCGCTTACTGATGCTGGGCAGCAGCCATTCGAACACTTTAATAATTACAACAGTGTTAAAATGTAACCCTGGGTCGGACCTACTGGTGTGACCGAAGAGCTCGCTAATCATTTCCCAAAGGTGTTCGACTCTCCTCTTTGTCAGCATCAGCTTGGTTAGTTTTAATAGTACACTAGAAGTGTTCAAACTCTGATAGAGGCGTGCAATGACCTCGCAGACAGTGCTGAATCACTTCAGTTAAATATGCTGTGAACAAGGAGGACACAACAGTTAATGATCATAATATCAGGTATGATTACATCCACTTATTGTAGTGGATTATGACACACACACACTCACACACACACACACACACACACACAGAGTACGTGATGGGTCCTCTGTTGTTCGCCTGCATGTTGTGGGCGTGTGCTGAAGTCCAGCATTTTTTTGTTCCTGCTTTGAGTCAGCACAAATCAGCCGTGAGTGCTGAGTCACAGAAATGTGTTGTTGATTTTCTGCTGGATGACTTCAAATGAGGCTAGACACAGTATAATTCAGAGACAGGCCAAGACTGCCAAACGTGGTGACTTTATGTCTTTTGGTATCACTCAGTTTGCATCGACATTGAGCTCTTGTTTTTTTAACGCTGTCTTTTTTTTTTTTTTGCTGCTTCACACCCCTTCACACCTGGCTCCTGTCCAGGTGATCCATCAGGCCAAAGTACATCTTGGAGTCTTTAATAAGTCATTGATGGAAAAAAAAAGGGTACAAGCACAGACAGCTGTTTCACTCTGTTACAGCAACTTGTGCACTGCAGCCGTCTGTGGTATCCATTAACTTAGATGTTACCTTAAAACATACTTCCAATCTGTACATTTAAATGCCCTCAGTTAGCAGAAAATCTTTGCACTGCAGTTTCCCTCTTTGTGTAAATCTGCAGCTATAGTGCAATTATGCAACTGGGCCGTAATGAAGCTCCGCCGTCATTGCACCTTGAGACATTGAAATTGATTCTGCAATGCTGAATATTGGTGTCCCAGCCTGTGAATTCACATTGTGTTCAAGTGTTGCAGAAGTGTGAGAGAGCACGGCACAGCGGCAGCTTCACATACACACACAGTCAGATATGCACACACACACACACAGCGCTGTTCTCCGCCTGCAGGCATTACAGGGATGAGATGAGATCTTTGGAGCTAGGGGTGGAGAAGCCCTGTGCCATGCTTCTGAAAAGCATAAATGCAATGTGAACTCACAGACTGGGACAGCAGTATTACACCGTCGCTGAAACAATATGAATGTAGAAAGACGTGATGCTGAGCTGAGTTACTGCACTACTGAAACAAGCAGTCTGAGAAGGGGCTCATATGAGGCAGTGATGAGCAGAGGATTCATGTTAAAGAAATCTGTTTGTGTTGTGAGTTTATTTGCCGTAATCTTTTTGTCGTCTCCCTCTCTCCCTTCAGTGTGACGGCATCATCTTAGACCTCAGTAACACCTCCTTAGAAGGCATCGCAGTCCTAAACATTCCCAGCATGCACGGCGGCTCCAACCTGTGGGGCGAGTCGAAGAAGAGGAGGAACTACAACCGCATGAGCAAGAAGGTTCCTTACACGATGCCCTCGAGCACCGTCACCGACGCTAAGGAGCTCAAGTTTTGCATGCAAGGTGAGTCAAAGAAGCTGAGTTAGGGTGAAGCTGTTGAAGGAGGAAATGACATCAAACTTTTCTGTCGCCTATTTATTGAACAGTCAGCTCTGCAGCATTCATCAGAAAACTATGTTTGGGCTGCCCCAGATCAGTCTGAAACCGACTCCGCTAAGGTCATGAGTAATGATAATGACCCTTCCAAAACTGCTGAGACATGGAGCTTGCACATGAAAAGCTTAATCGATATTTTTCAACCTTTCTGCTTTGTTACTGTTAGGTGGGGGTTGTTTCTGTTTGTATAAATCCAATGAAGAAATCGTGAAACAGACTGGAGATTATAACACCATTTAATCGGCCAAGGTCAGATAACTTCATCAAGCAAGCACACTTCCAAATCACTTGACTGACAAAGTGCTGACAAAGTAACAGTGTTCACAGTGCTGCTTATATTCTGTCAAAAAGGTGCAACCCATAAATTCCTTTCTATTTGGGTGCATCACCATAAACAATGAAGATGACTTGACACTAATTTATAAATGTATCAGATGTAGACTCTCTGTCTAGCAAACAGTTGCTGACAACATATAGTTGGCTCCTATCCATATATAGATCTGCTACTACTTAGGTGCTTCACCCATATAAGGTTACAGCTTCAGACACCTAAAGGTAGGAGTGTTAACAAGTGGTAGGCAGACTTGAATAATACATTTCACAAAGTTACCAAGATGAATGAATTTCATGAAAATTCGTACTAACAGTTACCCTGAAACGATGTCTACTTGTGACCTCTCGTCCCAGGTTAAGAATGTGGTCTGAACATGATTAATGAGCTGCTCAACCTCAGCAGAGCTTTAGGTCGACTAAGTTCTGCATTTTTAGGACTACCTTAGAGTGGATGAGTTGCACACCGGATGACACGTGTTTGCATGTAAAGGTGCATCAGAGCCTAAAATACTCTGAAGTTGTTCTGCATAAATAAATGTCTCTGGAATATGATGACTGCGGACATAGTCTAAACAATTGTGTGGAGGTATAGTTTATAGTTTTTTTATAGTACGGCTCTGTTTTTATATTATGAACAATATGTGTTATACATAGTTAGGCGCTTTCAAAAGAAAACATTTCTTTAGAAGGAGGAGGGTCCGATCTCAGACTTTAAAATGCAAACTAAATGATGTTCGACCGTCCATCTCTCTCTGTATCTTTCTGATGTGGACATAAATATATATTTATAGATGTTATTGTGAGATCGGAGATGTGTTTCTTTGAACGCCCTCTCGTCAGTGTCTCAGCAAGGTGCATGATGTCGGTGTATCTGTGACTTTCGACTTCTCTTACATCAACATTTCTTTCTCTTCCTGTTCTTGAATTCTTTCACCTCATTATAATAATAAAAAAATCTGACCTGCATGAGTCTCAAAACATTTTCAAACAGGAGTCAGAAAAACGACGAGCTGTAAAGGCCCCCTTACATCAGTTTCAATCAGATTATATCAGTGAAACTATTTGTCTGATGCAAAAACTGCACACAAATGATTGAGAAGTACTGAATCTATCATAGGGAAAGTTGTGTCCTCTATCGAGATGACGACTTGGTTCTATTTAACGTACTTAAACGGTTTGCTTTGTTTTCTATACGTCTGGCTCTGCAGCTGGGCGAGTTACATCCAGCCGAGTTTTATGTCCACAAACATTTAAAGAATAACCCACTCTGTGCTTTCACCACTCGATTCATCTCACTCCCGTCTCTCTCTCTCTTCACTTTGTCTCCGCATCTCTGCTGACTGAACTAAACCTTGTTTCCATGGAGATCTCAGGGCTGTGCCGAGGTAAAGACTGGAGGAGAGGAAGAAGCTGATGAGAAGAAAGTGCAGAGAAAGAAGAAACAGGGATGACTCATGTCAGTCAATTGGAGTTTGAGCCTTCGTTGATTCAGTCTTTTCATAATGATGTTGAATGGATGACTCGGTTAAAGATGGATGGAGGCTTTATTGATCCCGAGGGAAATTCAGGCATTAATGTTTCCCTTGCAAACTGAAAAATAAGCCTGTACACATATTAAAACACAAATTAAGATTGAAGTTTTCAACAGGAAATCAAATGAAACCTGTGTTATGAAACTGCACAGCTGAAGAACTCAAACTCTTGAAAATGTCCTAACACTGTCAGGGAGGGATGAATGTATGAAACATGGACCTGACGTCACCCGTTGGTTTTTGAAGAGCGTTATGAAGCCCAGCGATGGCGGTAGCCATGTTGGAAAAGCTGAGTCCAACTAACCTCCAGCTAATAGAGAGGTAGGCGAAGAGGCGGCGTTGAGGTAGAATAAATGTATATCTTGTTTGCTGAGACACAAACATCTAACTCATTATCAATCCATCTTTAATCGTATAGCGCCAATTCATAACAAACACTATCCTGAGACACAGGCAGGTAGAAGAACTTACTCAAATACGGATAGGGAGAAGGGATAAGATGCATGAAGAAGGATATGGACAAACAAAGTGTCGTCAGCTGTTTCCCGCTGCGTTTTCAGTCAAAAAAGTTAACTTTTAGTTTAGCACGACCCCACCGGCCAAGCGAAATCAGGAAGGGGCAGGATTAATGTAAAGTGAAGCCTAGCTTCCTGGCTAACAGCTACAACACGCCCACCTGTCAATCAAATCAGCCACGCCTCTTGTAATGCCTAATCATGCCACACTTTAATGTAATCAAAACAGATGAATCTACTCTTTGCTGTTTTAATATGGGACTTAATGGGGGTTCCTCAGTTTTGAGCCAGCCTCCAGTGGACACTCAAGGTACTACTCTTGGTCTCATTTTTCAACACTGGAGGTTGTCACTTAGTGCAAACGCAAATGACTGAATCGGCTCACTTTGACCTTAAACACATTGAAAGCGATTTTCTGGGTGAAAGAACAAATTGAGAATAGTGCCTTTCAGATCATTGCCTGTGTATAAAGACAGACAATATGTCTCCACCCCCTCCTGTTGTACAAATGTGAAGCCAAAATACTCCTCAGGACTTGCGCTGACACATGTTATATGTGATAACACCTGATATCATTTAATGGTCTTAATACACTGACAGCTGGCACTCACTCAAACGACAATTCAACATGAGAACGTAAAGAGATGTTCAAACTCTCTACCTCATGTTGATTCCCTAGTAAAACAGAATAATGTGTTTGTTTACGGCTTCTCTTTAAAAACTATATGGCAGAGCTGTTCATTGTGCTGTCGACGTTCTCCCAGCTCCGAGGGTTACTTTAAAGAGACGCTGGACTGGAAAAAGAAACATTTCACCAAAGACAAAACCACGTCGTTGTCTCCCAGTGAAGAAGCAGAACGAGGGAGAATCTGATAAATCAAAGCCGAATATGTAAATGTTAAACTCGAGGCTTCACACGCTCGCAGGCTCCAGACTTGTTTAAGAACAGAGACTGTCTGTCTCCTCGTATGTGTACGCCTGAATGCACCGTTACTCTTCTGAAGTCTCCTCCGTCTCCTTGCAGGAATCACAGTCCTGCTGCAAATGTCTCGCCATCTGCATCCCTTGAAACATTTTTCTCAGTTTCTTTCTCTCTCCATTTAAACTGCTGCATAAATTAGCAACCAAGTGCTGAAATCTTGTCTTTTGGAATCCCAGTTTGAGGTTGTTCTTCCATTTGTTCTGTATGAGTTGTGCAAAGTCAATCAATCTAAATAACTTAGTTAAAGCAGAGAAGCTGTGGTAGATGTCTAGTGCTTGTTGGTTTCAGTGTTATTAATGAGCTGACTTGATGCGTGAAGTTCAATTTACAGGTTCCAAAGAGAATTTCTTAACATGTTAAAACAGTTACTTAACGCTTTCTTCCAAGTCTTGAATCATACGACCAGTTCATCAATGCAAATTATTCTGAAACCTCTCAGTTATGTTCTGATTTTCAAGGGTTGTGATTAACAGCTTCAGAACAAAATGCTTCTGTTCTCTACAACCAATCAGAGCAATGAAAGTTGGGGCGAGCTGTTCGTTGCCTGGTAGTTGAGTTATCAAAACTTTTAGGAAGAATGTGCATTTTTTTTTTGATGAATAAGATTTATTTTTGGGCTTTTTGTGCCTTTAATGGAGAGGTAGGACAGTGGATAGAGAGCGGGGAATGACATGCGGGAAAGAAGCCACAGGTGGGATGTGAAACCGGGCCGCCCCGCTTGAGACGACAGCCTCCACACATGGGGCGCGCGCACTAACCACTGCGCCACCAGCGCCCCAGAATGTGCAACTTTTTAATCCAGTAGGTGTCGCCCTTGAGCTCCAGCGTGAGATAAAAACAAACTGCTGTTTGGCCACGCCTCCTCCATACTGAAGCCTCCACTCTCCTCCAGAGACACACCTACAACCCCTCTCCACTCTCTATTAAGCACCATTTAGCACAAGCCGCGGACAAACTTGTCCTTGGCTCGAGCTGCAATCACCTGTGTCCTGCATTGTTGTGTTAGCATGCTAATGTTAGCGTTCTTTAGTTAGCTCGTAGCTTCACATTGCATGTAAACTGACACAGAATGAGCGTGATCTAAAAACTCTCCAAATAATCAGTGAGTATGTTCTTCTTCTTCTCTCTAGTCCTTGACTAAAACAGCTTTTATACACAAGGGGAGGAGCCGGCCGTCCCGTCCATGTAAACACGGCTCTGACAACAACACAGCCAGCGGGACTCAAGCTTCTCACGCATTGTAGACAGTCATGACTCAGAGAGACATTTACACAGATAGACTGGATTTATGATATATATATATATATATGTGGAACATGTCACACATTCTTCCTTTAAGGAAATACAATGCTAAACTGCAAAAAAGTCAATTTAAGAGACTTTCTATAAAGCACAGTTCAGTCAATCAAATCCCCATCAACATGTTGTTACCCCATTATTGGATGTGCTGCCCACTTCTTCGGCCGGCTCGTAACTCTTGACCTCAATCCGATTGGTAATCCACAAAGTCGTCTCTTAAAGAAGTGAATACCGACACACTGTCCT